GGCTTTTCCGATATTCTGATTGGTTGTCTAAATATTCGCATCTCAAGTTAGAGTAGCGAAAAATATGCGAAGCGTGTTGAGTAAATGGACACCACGTAAAAAAAATTCAAATATCAAAATGGATGTTACTAAAAGTAGTAACGTAGAATGAGGAACGGGGAACGGGGAACGGGGAACGGGTAATGGGGAACGGGTGTACAGCGGTAACCCACCTGAGAATTCAAAATGGCGTAGTAAACGATGTTTATAAACACTGATTTTACAGCTAGGTCACTGCTTGCAGCTAAATTAGACGACTCGCTTTTATTTAACTATTGCCCAGGCGAAGCCACGAAGCCTAGTATTCCGAGGCGAGAATTAGAAGTCAACGTTTCTACAATGGCTGCCACCATTTGTTCTGACGTCTCTCTTTCTTTTTCCATCCTGAAATCTGCATCTTTTGGTAGAGTTTGGGTATGTTGGTTGTTTGCATTGCCCAACAGCATTTTTTGCAGATAAGTAGCAAGGACGTAAAATCTTAGGTTAACAGAAATGAGCTAGGAAACGTAATAACCAACCTAGTTACTAAAGTTACTACATGCAGATATCTGCTTACCTTACCGCAAAATAACATCAGGTGCATATCTTTGTATCGGCCCATAAACTTCCATGTAAACAATAGAGAAATCAAACATTGACAGAACTTTTATTAACATTTAATTTAACAGGAAAACATCAGTTATGTCTTGAAGAATTTAGGTGTATGAATTCACATTCATGCTAATGCTTACAATAATATTTACATTGCATTGATCATATTCAAGAGAAAGTGATTCCCATGATGGGCTTGAAAGTTATTCAGCTGTGTGCTTTACAACATTATTTACATTGCTAGGTTTTAACGGTGAATATATTGGAGGTAAACTTCATTACCTTGCAGTACAATTACTCGATGAATATAAGAATAAATGTCGCGAGCTTGTAGTTCTGAGTTGATCGTTCAAATGTTGTGCATGAATTGTAAGATACTCACCTCTCCGAGGATTTGATTTCTATGCAACCTGCAATGTGTGCCAGACAAAAACTAAATTTATGAGGCACTCAACATTTCAAAGTAAAATCCTTCAATAAAACCTACACTTACTGTCCATGCTTTTTGCTCCGACGATCGTGTTCGAAGAGCACGTACTCAAAACTGGTTGCCAGACCCTTTTAGTTCCCTTTACTCCGCCTCGTAAATGTTACAGATAACATTTTGAAAGCAATTGATGAAAAAGCAGCGTCATTATTAGTACTGCTTGATATGTCAAAAGCTTTTGACAGCCTTCATCATAATCTGTTATTAAGAAAACTACGGAAACTGGGTCTCAACACTTCTGCAGCTTGTTGGTTTAGTAGCTATCTATCCAGTAGATATCAGAGAGTACGATATGAAGATTCAGTCTCAGAATTGTTACCTTCAACAAACGGAGTACCTCATGGGTCAATCTTTAGTCCTGTGCTTTTTACTGTCTACATTCATGGTTTAATCAGTGCTATTACCCACAGTCAAGCCGCTGCGTATGTTGATGATTGTCAATTGCATTTTAAATTTCCCATATCAGACTCATCAAGTGCTATAGTCGCCGTAAATCATGATCTTAGGAACATCAGTAGATGATGTGCAGAGAATTCTTTACTCATAAATCCCGAGAAGACAAAATTGGTGGTTGTTGGCTCAGCACAACTTCTTAAGAGGCTACCTCATATCTCCTTAACTCTGCTGGGCAAGACTATCTCACCAGTTTCGTTTGCTAAGGATCTCGGGGTATATGTT